GTTTATCTGCAAGAGAGGCTAGGGCCTTGAAAAGAAAAATGAATAATAAAGTGACAATGCGCAAAAGAACCAGAAAATAAATGACGCAACACAGTCACTGAGTTGATCAACAGATTTTGTGCCTGAGATTTTAATCTTATCTTATCAGTGCTTATTTATGCATCATGATTGTACCTATAGTTTATTATCTTTGAGCCGAATAACAATTACAGAGTAATTGTATTCTGGGGGAGAATAGTGTTGTATCCAACAGCATATTACTCTTGGATTATTACATAATACTGAAATAAGAGATTGCGGATCCTTATGAAGGTTAGAATAACCGTGAGTGATAGGTTTGTTAGAACAATTCTTTTCTTTAGCGGAAGAATATTTCATCTGTATATCCGAGACAACATTGGATGAGTAATTGACTTCATTTAGAAATAAGATATTATAGTATTTGGATTTGATTAAATCAGATAACTTTATTTAGCACATCAAACCACAATACATAAATCTAATCTATTTAAGCTATTATCTTCTAACTTGTTGATCCTTACTTTAACCCTTTACATTCTGACAGAATTCAATAAGACTGAAACGTAGACGTCGGCAGAATTAAGGAAGAGTTTATCCTGTCCGTCACGTTAGTTATAATGAAACTGCTGAAGTACGGGTCAAAGGAACCTTTAGTTAGATCAACCCACTTACCTCCTGTCACCGATCCAATCGGTCAAGGCACCGCTATAGCATGATGAACCGTGCAGTAACAATTGGGTATGTCTTTTCTTTTATCATCAAGGCATCTTGTACCTAAGAGTCTCGATAGAAAAAGTTTTTTACAATATCCACAAATATAAATAGAAGTACTTTTTTCCTACATGGTTTTTGTCTTCATTCTTAATTGAGTTCTTTATCAGAATATTCCAGCGAATAAAAGAAGATAACTTGGTCTTCACTGATTTCCTTTTTGTTTTCTTTTCCTTTATACTTTTATCTGATCGTATACAACAAGTACGCCAGTTTTGGGGTGGAAAGGTGAGGAAGTATTGTTGCTTAGAAGGACAGAAATAGTGATGTCGTCAAACATATTGGAGAGTAGGGAGACGAGGGGTAGTGGGGCTTGAGCTGAGATGAGCGCATTCCAAATAATGCGGCGATCCACTGTATCGTATGCGGCTTTTATGTCGAGGAAGGCTATAACTGGAAAACGGTGGTGGGTACGTTGATACGCTTTGACTAGGTCATGTAAACACAATGCTTGATCTAAGGAGCTTCTTTGGGATCGAAAGCCCCCTTGCCCGACATCGATAGGGGGTGAAACTGAGTGAAGAAGAGGAGCTATGCACATTTCAAATAGCTTCCGTACAACAGAAGTTAGAGAAATGGGTCGAAAATTTGCTGGTTGTGAGATGTCCCCTTTTTTGTATATAGGGACTACTTGGGCATGACGCCAGAGGGAAGGTGTAAAGGACCATTGACAGCATACAGAGAACATCAGTGATAGAACTTGAGAGATGGATCTACGAATGGGTTTCAACATTTCGGCACGTATGTGGTCTGCACCAGGGGCCTTACGATTTGGCAATAGTTGTATGTGCATTTCTATACTAGTAGGGTCAAGAACTGTCGCAAAGGTGGATTGAGATGAAGTAGAGGAAGGAGAGTCATCAGTTAGTGTAGTAGTAGACGGGTCGGTTTCTGTAAGTTGGGGTGGTTGAATAATGAAAGGCACCTTTATATTGGATTGATCCATAATATCTGCCATTGGTGGTGGTCTTAAGGCTGGGAGGGACGTGCCAGAATAAACCGAGCAGAGGTGGTCACGCATTGTTTGAGCAGCTACGATCGGGCCGTCAGGATGTTGAAATCCCTGTTGCCGTTGCCTACGAACCTTGATCTGTCTGATTTTACTAATTGCTTTGGTGATATCTTGATGAGCTAGGGAATCACAAAACTCGCGCCATTTCTTACGTTTTGCTCGTTTTAGATCTCGTCGAAACTGTGCATGTGCTTGAATATGTAGGTTCCAATAAAGGATCTTATCCATGTCTGTCCGGGCACGTCGGTATCGTTTATAATATCTTTCCCTACGGTCTACTGCTGTTTGCAGAGTCTCATTCCAGAAATACTGATAGTGGTTAGGTCGTCCGGTTCGTTTGCCTACTGTGAGGTCTAGCGCTGTATATATGATTTGGTTAAACTGTTGATTTAGATCGTCGATATCAGGTGTGGTATCAGGTGGATGTATGATTAAGTGTTGGAGCAGCTGGAGAAGAGGCTGTGATAAGCGGTTGAAGTGGGATTGATAGAGGGCAAGGAGGTCCGGTTCCTGTAGACGGCTTAAGTTCCATATCCGGCGTTCATGGGAGTGCTGTTGGGCTTCTGGGGGGCGGTCGATGTTGGTGTGTGTGTATTCAAAGGTCAATGACATTAGGCGATGGTCTGAGCCCAAGGATAAATCGGAATATATTTCTAAAGAAGAGGAGGATGAGGTATGCAGTGTTTCGATGTTGGTGATGAAGTAATCCACGATGCTACTGATAACGCGACCTTGTCGAAAATCGCTGTATGTGGGTATACCATGGGCCAGATGGTTATTCAGAATATGTAGCATATGGGCATTACACCAGTCTCGGAGTACGTCACCACGGTTGTTCGTTAAGGTGTCACCTGAGTCGTTACCGAGCCGAGCATTCAAATCACCACAGATAATTGTATCTTCTAATAAAGGGATAGAGTCAAAAATAGCTGAGACTTCGGCATTTCTCAAGTTGTGTTGGTCAGGAGGTAGGTATAGGCATATGAGGCGGAGGGAGCCGATTTGGATACTGAGTGCATGTTCGTTGTTAGGTAGCGGGATTTGATATACAGTGACCAGCAAAACTGTTCCAATGTTTTTGCCATTCTTACCTTTTCCTTCATAACTCAATGTAAAGTCATCGGAACAACTTGAAATTACAACCATTAGAGAGAGAAAGTCACGCTTAAAAAGTACAAATAAAAAGTTGGCTAAAAATTTTTTTATTTTAGTAGGCTTTCATGCGTTAAAATTAAGATGTTTATTGGAACAGTTTTGCATGCATCGATCAGAAATCCAAAATAGCTCTTTATCTCCGTTTTAATACTTCGTCCAATAACCTTTGGCCTTGATGCAAGCCTCAATACGTTGTGGCATTGAATCAATTACCTTTTGGCATTCCTTGATATCGATTACCTTATACCAAACGTCACTTACACGTTCGTATAGCTCCTGCATACCTTTTGGTGACGTTTCGTACTCATTGAGGCGGATTTTCAACAACCGCCACATATTTTCAATTGGGTTGAGGTCTGGTGACTGTGGTGGCCAATCCATTACCTTATAATCCTGGTTTTTAAGGTAATCCTTGACCAAATTACTAGTGTGCTTCGGATCGTTATCTTGCTGAAAGACTATTTGATCCCTTCGGAACCCCAATTTTTGGCACGCGAACTCAATTGTTTGCTCCTGTTCGTCTTTGACGATCTCCTGGTAGAGCGTCTTGTCCATGTTACCAATTATTTGGCACATCCAACCGGTTCCAGCATAGGTAATGGCACTCCAAATCATGATGCTACCACCGCCGTGTTTAACAGTTGCCTTTACATGCTTCGGTTGAAGCGTTTCCCCGTCACGGATCCAAGCCCAAACACGTCCTTCGGAGTTAAATCGATTGATCTTCGTCTCATCAGACCAGATAACGCGTTTCCAGTCATCAACTGTCCAATAACGATGCGCTTTACACCAAGCAAGTCGTTTCTTTGCATTCTTGGCAGATATCAAAGGCTTCTTTTCCTTTTCAAACGCGCCTAAACCATACTGCCGAAGAGCCCTGCGAACGGTATCAACACTTGCCTTGACTCCATGATCGATTTGAAGTTGTTTTCGAACCTTTACGGCATTATCTACGCGACCCTTGGTGATTTGACGAACGCAATACCGCTTATCGGCCTCAGACAAGAGCTTGGGTCTACCTCCTTTACTCAAATTTCTATCGGGGCAGAACTCTTTTCCGACTCGCGACACAGTTGCAACACCGACACAAACCTTAGCAGCCACAGCACGAACACTTTCACCTGATTCCAATAGAGATACGATACGATCACGCTGTTCAACAGTAATACCACGCATAGTAACGAAGAGACCCAGAAAAACTTACTTGAAAGGTTAAATAATTTACCGAAAGTGACGGAAATATGTTTCTCATGATTTAGGGAAGTATTGGTTGAAATTTCAGTCGTCTGTGACCAGTTGCCAAGTTGTGGTTTATGATTTAGTGAAATCTGAGGTATGCATGCAAAACTGTTCCAATGCACCCTCGGGCTTTGTGGCGTTCCTGCTTTTTCCAGATGCGGTAATAATCAAAACAAATTTTAGTAACAGGTTCGTGACGGTTTCAGCTTTCTATTGATATATATTAAGTCACTCAAATGTTTTGAAACTCTGCGGTTGACGTCGAGCGAAGGCAAAAAAGCAAAACATTGGAACAGTTTTGCTGGTCACTGTACAGGGAGGGTACAGTTTGGATTGATCAAGCAAGTAACACCTCTGGAGCCGCGGTAGTCACCTGCTACAGGGATACCGGGAAGGTGATACTGCCGCCAAATGGTGGGAAGTCGACATGGTGGTAAAAGCCATGTTTCGGTAATAAAGATGACGGTAAAGGACTGGCAATGTTGTAATATATCATCGATGGATGTTTGTTGGAGACCACGGGCGTTCCAAAGCCCAATGGTAATAGGTGTCGAGATAGGTGAGGATGGGTGCGGGTGGTTACGGGGTCGAGTGTTGTTCTGGGTAGATGGTAAAGAGGAGTTGTCATGGGTGTGAGGTTAGTCTGGAAGAAAGAGTACGGTGTCATGGAGGGTATGTTGAGTATAATGATTGTGAGACTCAATCATTAAAACTCATTCATCATTTCGGTGTCAGCGGGAGCATCGTTGCCACTGCTGGCCATTTGGAAGGCTGCAGCAGCGGGGTGGTCGCGATGGAACTTGGTGGGGGTACTGTTGAGGACCTCAGAGAAATCTTCATCTGAGATCCAGCCGTTGTTGAGAAAGTCCCTAGCAACTGGAAGAAGAGGGCGACGAGTGGAAGCAAGGAATTCGAGGGTGTGAAGGCAGCGATCCCGGTGAAGTTCAGCTGCCTTGATGTTGCGTTCATCATTGGAAAGGGAGGCATATTTTGGGTCGGCAACGTGCTTTCCGTCCGTGGGGTCGAATTCACTGTTGATAGGCTTGACGTTAGCCTTAGCTAATATCTGGAGGAACTCTTCTTGGTATTGGATGTGGACTAAAAGTCCTACAACATTACGAGCTGGGAACATAATGTCAAGGATGCGGCTGGGTTCAGCTCCCAAGAGACGGAGGTTCTTACGGCATTCGACATGTGTGAGGCGACGGGAGCGGTGGAGGTAGATGTACTGGAAACCTTGTGGACCAGTAGGTGTGGGGTTGAAGCATCGGGAGATGGCTTCCACCTTTTTTGGTGTGGGCGGGCGGATTTTTTTTGCTGGGCGAGTAACAATGGAGGCCCAATCAATAGGGCCAGCTGGCTGAGTAGCGGGGACAGAATGTGTTTCGGGTTCCTGAATTCCTCGGGGTAAGGCAACAGGGGAAGTGGGGTGATGGCTGGATTGGAGTTTCAATTGAGATCTCAATCTCGAATTTTCAGTTTCAAGGCTCTGAACCTTGTCTTGGAGCTCGCCATTCACACGCTCGAGTTGTGCTAATCGTTCAAGAAGGTCGGCGTGCTGCTTGAGTTGGGTTTCAGTTCTGGTGAGACGCTGCTCCTGTTCGAAGAAACGCTGGGAAAGGGTGGCAAGGTCGAGTGTTTGGGACATCTCGGTTGAAATGGGCAAGATGGATGGTAAGTTCAATACAAATTACAATCGTAATTTGCGAAATGGTCAATACTTGTTGGATTGGTTGGAAACTTGAATACGATATAGTCCTTTCAATACTGATCAGACTACTATATTCTGTTACTGGTGTTGCTTTGCTAGTTGTCGAGTATAGTCTACTGTTTACTTTGGTAGATCACGTGACTGTTGAAGTGTGACTGTGAATTTAAGTAAAAGGTTTAAGAAGTGAAAGAAAGGTGCTCGCTTAGCTCAGTTGGTTAGAGCGTGGTGCTAATAACGCCAAGGTCACAGGTTCGACCCCTGTAGTGAGCATTTTTTTCAAACCTGAACATTTTGGGATCTGTCTTTTTTTTTTTTGGGATGTCGTGGTACCTCAATAATTAGTTTAGTATAGTGTCGTGCTTGAAATGATAGCCTCGTTAATTAGTGCAAGTTATATACAATTCAATAATACTTTTCAAAAGGGAGAGAAAGTATGCCGTTTATTTCTTTTGCAACATTCATATTCTTATAGGATTATTACTGTTACATTTACTGAAGTTTTATATACCGTAATTTTGTGGTATGACATTAGATGTAACATTCAAAGATATAAAATATAGAATAATCGAATAATGAACAAAATCATTCTTTCCTCTACTTCTGACAATAATCCTACCTTTGTGATATTAGTATATAGTCTTATCGGAGCTTCGTGCACAACAGGGATGATAGTGTTGTTGTTACCTACGTAACTCGCCAATGAAAAACAATTTTATTAAGACCCCTATTCTAAAAAAAATTTTCAGTCACCGTTATACTGTAACACGACAATAATATAAAAAGAAAAGAAGACAAAAGGAAATCAGTAAAGACCAAGTTATCTACTTTCTTCTATAAAGGATACTCAGGGTAAAGAATGAACAAAAAAAGCCCAACGGGGGGCTCGAACCCCCAACCTTGAGATTAAGAGTCTCACGCTCTACCGATTGAGCTAGCTAGGCTTTTTGTGTAACAATAAAAAAAAACAAAAGTAGGACGAAATATTTCAACAAATCGGAGGAAAAAATCAGTGACATAGTTAAAGTAGGGCTCAATGTGAAATAGATTATCAAATACATCCGCAAAATTGATTTTTGACTAACTCTGTACAAATGGTAGAGAAATGTTAGGATGTTATTTATGAATTTAGCAACAACTCAGATTTATTGTACTGTATGTGTTGTTAATAAGTGTACAGTAGGTAAAGGAGCTTAAGAAGAGTAACAGAAATATGTTCAACAGTGAAATAAGACTCGAGCGAGTAGTGAGCACCAGGTTATTAGTAACCAACCTTTATTGTCTCAAGTGTATTATATGATTTGATTTATGATCTTTGACTAAATGAATAAATCTAACGATAAACTGAGTTGTATCTGGCACAATCTGGTTATGTTAAGAGCAATGAAGGCAAAAGAATAAGTTCTGAATGATTAATACTACTGTTGTATATGGTAGAAATAGATCACAATAGAAAGAAAACAAAAAGGAAATCTGTGAAGACCAAGTTATCTTCTTTTATTAAGTAGAATATTCAGATAAAGAATGAAGACAAAACCATGTAGGAAAAAAAGTTCTTCTATTTATATTTGTGGATATTGTAAAAAAACTTTTTCTATCGGGACCCTTAGGTACAAGATGACCTGAGGATAAAAGAAAAAACATACCCAATTGCTACAGCACGGTTAATCATGCTAGAGCGGTGCCTTGACCGATTGGATAGGTACAGTATAAGAAGGTAAGTGATGAGCTGATCTGGCTATCGGTTCCTTTAACCGATACCTCGGCAGATTCATTACGACTAATGGGACGGATAGGATAAATTATCTTTAAATCTGCGGGGATGATTAGCAATATAGTTGACAGCTTATATATTTTAAATCCCGCACATATAAAAATGGATGTTAGTGTTCATTATGTCATCATTATAGATGAAGTCAACTCAGCGTTACGACCTAAGTACCGTACTAGTTTAGCGTCATAGTAAGGACATATATGACGGATTAACTTCAATCAATATCCATTTTTTCTAATTTTTTTATAATGTCATTCACTTGTGAATGATTATAACTATCTTTATTTTTACAGTTCTTATTGTTTAGAACATACACATGTTCGAATTTGCTACCATTCTCTAATTTTAGAATTATATAAACTATATTATCTTTTTTTAACTTAAACTCTACATTTATTACTCTGTAATTATGTTTGTTTTGATTAAAAAGTTTTGTTGGAACAAAGGAACGTTTAATATCTTTTACAAATTTTTCATTCAAAAATGGATTATCTACCATTCTATATTTATAAATTCATTAATATTTATTATTACTCTTAATTCTTACTTTTCAATATTATACCAAATTCAATTTTAGTCTTTTAAAAATGTTTTCCATAAATTATATTCTCTGTGTTTTTTTCTCCACTGGTATTCTCTCAGATATAATAATATATCCTTTTTAATTCTATTTCTAGGGATTATACTTTGTTTCAATCCATTCCAGGTACCCTCTATGGTATTGGTATGTATACCAGTTTCCGGGTCTTTGAAATTCTTCTTATGATTTACAGTTTTATGTTTATACCCTAAATTTTTTAAATTGTTATATCCTTTCCAACAATCAGTATGTATAATAGTTCCCTTTTTAACATACTTTTGAATAATTTTATCAATACACGTTGTGTCTCTTTTTTCGATGGGCACCAGAAATAGCTTTTTATTTTCATTCTTAAGTTTATTTTTTAATATGCTTCTTTCTATACCACCTATAACCCAACAACCTTCCACTCTATGACCTTTATTATATTTTCTTTTTCCTATTTTGGTTTCATCTAGTTCTACTACTTTATTTCTTCCTCCAATTCTTATATTTTTATTAAATTGTTCTTTATCTTTTAAATATTTTCTAAAGATTTTATTATACAATGTTACTGTATTTCTACTAATCTGCAGTGTTGTTGCAATACTACTACATGGCATTTTTAGAATAAAATAATTTAATAAATGAAGTTGGGTACTCAATGGTAATTTCATCTTTGAAAATATTGTACCGCGTAATGGTGAATATGCTTTCCTACATTTATAATTTCGACATCTGTAAATTTTTAAATTTAAGTATAATTTAGTATCACCATTACATTTTAGACATTTTTCATATTTATTTACATAATTATTTTCAATCAAGTATAACAGAGCCTTTTCATCATTTTCAAATAGTTCCTTTAAATTTATATATGGCTCCGTGAACATTGTGCTATTCTACATAATTATTTATCAAATTTTTTTATTACCTATTTTATATTTTATTATAATTCAATTTTTACATAATAATATCTCAGTTTGAATTTTAGAGTTGTCAAGTATCCTGAGATACATCCAATCTGCGGATATCTCCATTTCAGTCTTATTGAATTCTGTCAGCATGTAAAGAGTTAAAGTAAGGGATCAACAAGTTAGATAATAGCTTAAGTAGATTAGATTTATGTATTGTGGTTTGATCTGCTAAATAAAGTTATCTGATTTAATCAAATCCAAATACTATAATATATCTTATTCCTAAATAAAGTCAATTACTAATACAATGTTGTCTCGGATATACAGATGAAATATTCTTCCGTAAGAGAAAAGGATTGTTCTAACAAATCTATCACTCGCGGTTATTCTAACCTTCATAAGGATCTGTAGTCTCTTATTTCAGTATTATGTAATAATCCAAGAGTAATATGCTGTTAAATACAACAGCCAGCTTCGATCATTTCTGAGTCTCCAGTTATGAAACCCAGGGAGATCCAAAAAGCAGAGGCTGCAGAAGGAGAACCATCATCACGGTTACGTTTCAATGGTCTAGGGTTGCGTTCATTAATACAGTAAGAGCAGTAGCAATAGATTCCGTTATCCAGCATTGTTTGACATAAAAACGAGCAATACTAGAAACCAGGTAGGGACGAACATAACGAAGAGCGCGGATGCAGCGGTCTTGTTGGAGGGCTTTAGCAAAGCGGGCCCGGTCCGTAGGTGAGGCAGAAGCCATATCAGGATTAGCGACATGTTCTTCAGCTAACGGGTCTAAGTCCTGAATAAGTTGAACTTTACAGGCTTGCAAGTGGCGGATGAGAGTAGCAGCGAATTTCTGGTGTACAAGAAGGCCGATGACTCCATGAGTCGGTAGGGTGATGTCCAAAATACGGGTAGTACAGTATCAATGCCTAAGGTATACAGGCGGTGACGTATTTCTCGACGATTAATACGACGACCACGAGGCATATACACATAGGTAAAGCCATTAGTAGAGTTAGGTGTAGGACGGCTAAAGGCACGTACAGTAGCATTGAGCTTGCGCTCAGTTAGTTTCTTGGGAGCAGCACGTTTGACAATTTGTACCCAAGCAGTAGAAGGAGGAGAGGCATTACGAGGGCGGGTGGTCTCAACAGTAGGAGCAGTGGGGGTAGCGTACTTACTAGCAGTAGTACCAAGTTCAGTGGTGGAGCGTGAGATGGATTCGGTGGCAGATGTCAAATCTGCCATTGTTGAGGCTCTAGCGATTATATTTGGCGAGATTTCAGCAGTTTTTTGTTTTTCTTCAATTTTTTGAAGATTTTGGACAACTGCGCCCAATTTTTCAAGCTCCTCCCGGAAAAAATTGTTGGCAGTTTCGTGGTCGAGGAACTTCGCTTCCAGCACGGAGAATCGATTTGCAAGTCCGTCAACTTTTTGAGTCAGATCTTGGAGGACTGTGAACACCTGGGCAAGTGTCGTTTCCAACTTTCGAGTAGACATGATTCAATCCAAAAATGGTTAAATGGTGGTAATGGATATCAGATGCAGTAGAGGTAATCTCGCTCTAAAATTTACAAATTCGATATTCTGGGTGATGGATGGGTTGAAAGCCAATTTATACACTCGAGTTCGGATTTTTGCATGCAGATTACTATAAATAGAGTAATCTCGGGGGTATAGTTCCTAAGCTCATTAAACTCGCCTCAATTTCTAATTTTCAAAAATATAAAAAAAATTATTTTCGGAGTTTTATAAAAAATGGTCATATGTTTATTTTTGCTAATTATTCATCAATATAATCATCATCACTATCATCGTCGCTTTCACTACTAGTATTCTCCTCCTCATCAGTTTCTATCTCTTCTCTCGTTCTAACTTGCGGCAAAATTGATTCATTTACATCATTTTCAACTGAATCTAATAATAATAATTAAATATTTTGAATTAAATAGTATCATCTAGCACATATAGAAAAAGGTTTACCTTCTGTTTCCTCAAAGTTAAAAGATACTTCTTTCATGGCAGTCAAAATAGCATTCCAATAGTCATTGCTATGCTTTCGGCGCCAGAGAAATTCCATTAATTTCCCATGTATTAATTGCCGTGTACGCTGTCTTGAAGGAATAATCATTTTAATTCCATTCCATGTTCCTATTTTTATCATTTATTCAATATAAAACTGTAAATAGTACAGTATTATACAGCATATAGCTATATTACCTTCAATAGTATTTGTATGCACACCAGCTTCAGTAATAAACGAAACAGAATGATTTACCATATGGTGATCGTAATGCATATCTTCAAGATCATTCAAACCATTATAACCAGCCTAACAATCAGTATAAATCCTAGAATGAGGCCGGACATGAACCTTAATAAGCTCTTCGAAAGTATTGGCTGTACGATCTTGAACAATAGTAAGAAACGCTTTTCGTTGTGGTGTTTTTTCATTACCACCAACTACCCAAATGCCTTCAACGTGATGACCACGATGATATTTCCGCTTTCCAAACTTGCTTTCATCGATTTCTACAATAATCGGTTCATTATTTTCATCCAATCCACCTATAAAATAAATTAATAAGTGGAAGATAATAAAAAAGATTACTTTAGGAATAAAATCTAACCGATTAACTGATCTTCTCTTTTCAAATCCAACTCCATCAGATGATAAATACTATCAATAATATTTTGAATAGTGTTATGATGAAGACCACTTGCCATTTTGATTGAGGATACAGGTGTCTTCAATAGAAAGTGATATACCACCAATAGAAATTCATCCAAAGGAGCTTTTAAGTAATTAAAGAACGAATGATCTCTTAAAGATCGTCTTCGACGAGATCGACCTGGTCGACAAGAACACCGTTCACTAGGACATTGCCAGAGAATACCATCGCGTGTAAAGTAATTTAGTCTCATTTGAGTACCCGCGTCACAATACTGTTCTTCATAAAAAACGCCTTGATCAATTAAATACCTAATAATTATATTTTTAGATTACATCAATTTTTATAAAAGGTTTCGACTTACTGTAAAGCAGCTTTGGGATCAAATAAAATGGGTTGAAGAGATTTAAGAGTAGGTAAAGAAGGCATAGTAATAAGTAAATAGATCTCATTTTAAGTGAGAATTTACCTTCTTTATATACTTTTTCAAATTTTTAAAAAAAAAATTAAGACTTTTTCTATCCAAAAATATTTCAGAATGAAAATCCGAGTCAGAACCCTCTGTAAAGTCTTAAATTCTTTTTAAAAATATACCGCAAGGTATTTTAGCTTTTTTAATTTTTGATTTTTTTTTCGATGAACTTTGACTTTAACCTCAGATTTCTCTATGACGAAGTAAGCTTGGAGCACAAGACTTTTACCATTGGAACGCTGGCGATTAGCTCCATTACATATATAATTTTCAGCCAAATATTCTGATATATGAAGCCACGTCATCTGACATGACGTCATCATAATAATATTACGTAATAGAGATAGTTGTTAGCTTTCTAATGGTAAAAGTCTCGTTTTCGAAAACAATTTCCTTATAGAACAATTTACACTTGAAAATTGAAAGCTCGAGTGTATAAATTAGCAGAGATCCCTGACAGGTCTATCGTTGATAGTGCCAATCACCATTAGAGGAGTGGAATGATCCATATTCATTTTATTATAAGGATAGTCGTACATATATCGTATCGGCATCACTGTCAGGGTCAGAAACATAGCCTCCTGAATCGGTACGGGATGTATAAGACGAATCAGAATCTTCCGAAGAGTATCCAGATAATTCTTCCTGAATTTCCTCTTCTCCAAGCAGTACATGATGAATCGGTCGCATGGGACCCTTTCCTTTATTCTTCCGTTTAGGACGAGCATCCAAGAATCGTATGCCTTCCTTCACTTGGTCTCGTGCCTTCTTGTCATTGACGAGCCAATATTTTACTGATATATAGTATTAAAAATCCTAAATCCTTTTATATCTTGTAATTGCTCTAAGTTAACATAAACATAAAAAAAAAATATATATAAATAGTCATTTGTGTAATTTGATCTTGAATTAATAGTTAAACATTTTCATAAGCATAGAGGTAAATACCATAAATAGCAAAAGGGAAGAGAGACAAGGGGAAGGGTGCATGTCCGGATGGTTTGGACCGAAGGCACAAACGCCCGACGGATTCGACAGCTGACCTACTAAATTGGGCAAGAATTAGTGGCCCGCTGTAGTGAGGCGATAAATTAGCTACAGGACTTGTCACAATTGATACGTAGAGGATTTTTCTAAAATTGGAATTCCGATGTGGGCACGTGCCCTCCCTTATTATGCTAAAAGTGACAAAAGAGTGATGGACCGGAACACTTCTCCACAACTGACCTTATTTTATTTAACTCATATAAAAGAACATACTGTTATCACTTATGGATATCAAGCTTAGTTATTTTTTAGTTTTAGTTAAATCCTATTTTTATACAGTATATTGAATTAAACAGTTATTCTAGTACGTGTGCCTTAATTGAAAAGATCTCAAAGAATTATATTAGATTTGGATATTATTGGAACTTAAGAATTATTTGTTTAGTATATATTTGGATTGGCCGACTCGAGGACATCTAGAATATATTGTTTAATTATACTTGTATAATTACTGTATATTCTATAACTTAACGCCGCGCCCGTATCATTGGAGGTCCTGCCGAGACATTTTGTCATAGCGCCGTGTTAAATCAAACAAAAAAAAAAAGAAGAAATTTCATTACAAAAAGAAACAAACATCAACAACATTCACAGAAACAATCATGACCAGTAATACTGAAAAAGATACTACCATAATAGCCGGTAACGCAAGGAACAACGACCTGGCCTTAAAGTACTTAACATTGATCGACAGTTTTGATGGAACGAAGAGTACAATGGAAGCAGAAACGTGGCTAAAAAGCATCAATAGACTGCGCAAATTTGTAGATTTGGATGACTATACTGCGAAGTTTATCGCTAGTTTTGCTTTAAAAGGGGATGCTCAACGCTGGTGGAGTCAGGTGGAAGAAGTTATTACGTCGTGGAAAGCTTTTGAGCAAAAGTTTAAAGCTGAATACGCTATGCATGACGTCGGAAATGCGTGGAAATCATTGAAGGAAATCAAGCAAAACGAAAATGAAGGAATAGAAGAATTCATCAGGAAAATCGATGTACCTATTGTTTACTGCAGTCGGATTACATGACTACGAATCGAGAAGGTCTTTTTTTATAGCATCCGTACTACCAGAAATTGCATACAAAATCGAACGTAAAGAAATACTTCCCACATACGAAGAGCTAACCAAAGAAGCATGATACGGAGTGTGTAGGATTGTCAAACCAACCATAGTTATTTCACGGACTAATACTCCTAACGTGTCACAATTGTGTCACTGTTTAAGTGGGCAAAATATGACAATAAGTTCGTTACACAACATTTATCAATATTAATATTATTTTTGAAATGAGTAAAAAATGAATTTCTGTAAATAAGAAAAATAAAAAGTAATAATATGAATCGCATTTTGATTATTCATAGTTAAAATGACCTGATTATGTCAATAAACTAATCTGTTTAATAGTTCATAATATAAAATACTATTAAATAAATATTTGTCCTGATAAATAAAAAAAAAATAAAAAAAAGAGTTTCGGAGCCTTTGGGTAATATAAGGCTTGTATATTATATTTTGTTGTATATGTTATAAAGGGACCCTTCTTACATCCATTGCTTGTTTTTATTGTTTTCTTTTTCTCATTTAATGTTATAATTTGTAGAAAAATACAACGTTGCCACTTCCGCAACCCCAGAGTATGGCTTGTTTCTGTGTTATTCATTTATGATGGAGTGTGTTCCACACAATAGCCGGTAGCTGCCATAATATCTTCTATCCACAATGGATAGCCTTCCCTATTTTATGTAATGTAATGAAATGGTATGAAAAAAATCAGTATCTAAAAAATTTACGAAGTAAACAGTAAAACGTTTTTTAGAAGATTTTTTGATTATAATGAAATGGAATTACAGAATCTTCTTAATAACCTGATACCATTTCATTATTCAACAAGTTGAATTATCAGAACATTTAGATACTGATTCTTTCATTTCATTTCATATCATGGAAAATAAAAAAAAATAAAAAAACGCTTTTTTTCTTTTTCTTTTCTTCTAGTCTGAAAAATAATAAATGAGAAATATTAAAGGTCATTGTCGAAGACAATAAAATCAAAGATTTTCCTTTAATATTTTGATCATCATAAAATTATTAAAAAATAAATATATTTAGAAATGGGAAAAGGAAAATCGTAGATTTTACTGTTAAAAACAGTGACCTTTTCCATTTCTTTTATTATAATTTATTTAGGCTCGGACCTAAAGGTCCTTAAGAAAAAAAAAAAAGATAAAGTTATCCTTTAGGATAAATTCATTTACAAGAAAAGAAATAGTTTGTGTCACGAATGGATCCTCATAATTACCCGTTTAAGTGTATAATGTACCGAACTAACAAGGGTTCGACCCGTAAAATAAAACTTAAGATAGTATATGAAAAACTTGAATATTCTTTATTATACTTTGATTATTCCTCTATTTATATAGTCAAGATATCTAAAGGTTTATGTACATAATTCATATAATTATTAATATAATTGAGATATCTATAGGTATGTACATTATAACTGATAAGTGATATTATGATTAAAAGGGGAGAGAGTACATTCTTCAGGTTATATTATCTTCGTCTACTTTGTATCCGTATAGCTTTCTGCACGTTAGGTTTAAACTTTTTTTTATCTACATCGAGGTTGATACGTTTCGACTCCGAACTTCGCCTTTTTCTATTGTTTATATCGTCACCCTTATCAACAATTGGAATGGCGCCGTACACGTGACTGGTTGCTCCATGGCCTCCAATTGGGTCAAACTCCGCTTCGACATAAATTGTGAAGTCCTCAATGGTCCAGTGGCTAGGATCTGTCGCTTTCACCGACATGGCCGGGGTTCGATTCCCCGTTGGGGAACTCTGATTTTGCAGGTTTAGATAATTTTTTTAAAGAGATTTTAAAGTTGTTGTTGTATCTGTCATACCACTGTCGTGTTACCCTTAGATAAATTAGATGTAACTTAGAATAAGTATATATACACTATTTTCAGAAATTATTCGGACACTTCTGACTAAAAATTTCGGACACCAATTGAAAAAATAAACGGACAATAGCTGAGCATAAAATGGGCCACTGACAGAATAAAAATCCGGTCGAAAAAGAAAAAGAAAACGGGACACTTTTTCTGCTTAAATTTCGTACATTTGCAGCGCTCTTAAAAATTTATAAAGTTAATTGAAATGGACAACGTTATATTCGAAGATGGTTTAGGGGGAAAGTTTGATGAAAATGGTGTTGCAGTTTGCGTTGTTGATATGGATGTTGACACAATAACTATCCTTTGGGTGCTGTTACTGACTTTGATATGTATGATGACTTCAAACCTCCTGGGAGATCTGAAAAGAAGGAGATCAAGAAAGAATCCAACAATAAGTCTGATAAAAAGCTGATTAAAACTGAAGAGATGCTGAAAACAACCTATAGAAAATATAAAAAAGAAGATATGGAAACATTTTTCTATTTAGTTACTGAAAAAGGGATGTCAATTCGCGGTGCAGCGAGCGCGCTCAAAATTCCTAAAAGCACAGCATATGGCTGGCATAAAAAGGGTCTTGAGGCGGCAGATGAGTATGTCGATATGAGAAAGGCTGGTAGTGGCCGGCCAGTTGGCAGACCATCACCCTTGACTGAGAGTCATCGTCAATATCTTGTCGAGCTCATTGATGATAACAGTGATCTTCGTTTAGATCAAATGATGGAGAGCTTGACTAATCAATTCAAGGATCTCTGTTGTATCCAACAGCATATTACTCTTGGATTATTACATAATACTGAAATAAGAGATTGCGGATCCTTATGAAGGTTAGAATAACCGTGAGTGATAGATTTGTTAGAACAATTCTTTTTTGTTACGGAAGAATATTTCATCTGTATATCCGAGACAACATTGGATGAATAATTGACTTCATTTAGAAATAAGATATTATAGTATTTGGATTTGATTAAATCAGATAACTTTATTTAACACATCAAACCACAATACATAAATCTAATCTACTTAAGCTTTTATCTTCTAACTTGTTGATCCTTACTTTAACCCTTTACATTCTGACAGAATTCAATAAGACTGAAACGTAGACGTCGGCAGAATTAAGGAATAGTTTATCCTGTCCGTCACGTTAGTTATAATGAAACTGCTGAAGTACGGGTCAAAGGAACCTTTAGTTAGATCAACCCACTTACCTCCTGTCACCGATCCAATCGGTCAAGGCACCGCTATAGCATGACGAACCGTGCAGTAACAATTGGGTATGTCTTTTCTTTTATCATCAGGTCATCTTGTACCTAAGAGTCGCGATAGAAAAAGTTTTTTACAATATCCACAAATATAAATAGAAGTACTTTTTTCCTACATGGTTTTTGTCTTCAATTCGATATCAGAATATTCTACCTAATAAAAGAAGATAACTTGGTCTTCACTGATTTCCTTTTGTGTTCTTTACTTATACTTTTTCTTATCGTATACAACAATCTCTCTATCTCTAAAACAGCCCTTTACAATTTTGCAACGAAAAAGTGTCGCATCAGCTTTAAAAAAGCCCATTTTCACTCTATTGAGAGGAATAGCCATGATAAAATTGAAGAAAGATATCAGTGGGTTAAGCGATGGATAGAAAATACCGATTTGGACTATGAAAGCAATTGCGTATTCATAGATGAAGCAGGCTTCCATATCAATCTAAAGCGATCCTTTGCTTGGTCTCAGAAGGGAACCCGTGCAGTTGTTAAGACTCCCAAAACCAAATCAAAAATGACGACAATTTTTGGCGCTATTTCGCCCTATGGAATTGTAAATATCAAAGTAAGGGCTGCAAAGGTGATGGCAGCATCGAAAAAAAGAAAAGTAGCAGGTAGTGGAGGCACAGCAGCAGTTGCTGCAGAGAAAGGCAAAGGCGGTACCTGTACGGTGTCGTATTTGAGGGTAGATGATATACAAATATTAAAGATATAATTCACTTTATGAAGGATAAAGATGAATTATACAATATTGCAAACCAGAAATAATTAGAAACTACATAAACTCTAATATATGAGTACCGTGAATTAAGTGTTGTGTTTAGTTGACAGCATCATATGAGATGTGGAGAACTCGTATACAAATTATACAAGATCCTCACACCTCATTACTGCTGAAATAATATAAAGCAGAGTAGGAAACGAATATAGAATAAGTGATGATTCTTATACGAGATTAGCTACCTCGTAGAAGGCTGAACAGGTTGTCATTTAGGATATATAGTTTACTTATTTTGCTATAATACGTTACTATATGACATAGGATATATAGTAGAATTAATATATGGACATGCAGGATATATTGATTCAACACCAAGGTATAATAGGTTATAAGTACTATTCTCTGCCTTCGGCATAAAGAATGATCACAAGATAATAGTTTGTGATCATCCTTTACAATAACTGTTCACTCAACTCAAACACCACGCACGAATACTATTTTCCTAATTAATTCTATTTTCCTGTAAGCAGTGCTACATATTGGTTAGCACGGGAAAATAAGTTAGTTGCATGATCACTAGATCAAGCCATGGATACGTTTACAAGTCCACCCGCTCCGGGTAGATGCGTAATCTCCTCAAGGGAGAATTCTATTCTTTTACGGTTCAGAAGACGTACGTCTTCTTTGAGTAGAATAACTCAGCTGTCAGTTTCTAGGTTCCGCAATATGAAGAAGATAGTTAAATTTTTGCAGTAGATATTTTTTCTTCTTTTTGAACTTAACTTGATTCGAAATAAAACGTACTAGTTTGATCTCGTTAACTTTTTATTGTTTTAACTAAGTGATATTTAACTCCACAAGTCGTCAAATACCACATACGGGACACTATTTCAATTTCATTGCCAGTACGTTAGATATTATGGACAAGCATGAAGAGTTCAAAGGTCATTATCTTGTAATGGATAATGCACCTATACATACACATGACGACATACGAAACTATATACAAGGTCGTGGCTATGGATGCGTTTATCTCCCAGCTTATTCTCCTGAATTGAACCCCATAGAACAGTTTTGGTCAGTTTGTAAAAGCAAACTCAAGCGAGAAGCACTTTTAGACGAAGAAACATTGACACTACGTATTCGCGATGCCTGTAACAGTATTCTTCTGAGTGATATAAAGGGATTCTGCAGGTATTCCGTCCAAAAGTTTCCTGATGTGTTGGAGCGCAAACCCCTCTAGACATTGGGACATTTGGCCCACTTCCATTTCTGTCCCATACAATAAATTTTCCATGGCCCAAATTATTTTCTGTCAGTGGCTCATTTTATGCTCAGCTATTGTCCGTTTATTTTTCAATTGGTGTCCGAAATTTTTAGTCAGAAGTGTCCGAATAATTTCTGAAAATAGTGTAAGCAACAATTATATAAAGAATAAAACCCCAGTCTTTTTCTCCTATCATTAAACTTCGTGTCTTCGTCGCTTTGTGCACGACACCACAAAATTACGGTATATAAAACTTTAGTAAATGTAACAGTAATAATCGTATAAGAATATGAATGTTGCAAAAGAAATAAACGGCATCCTTTCTCTCCCTTTTGAAAAGTATTATTGAATTGTATATAACTTGCACTAATTGACGAGGCTTTCATTTCAAGCACGACAATTGGTAGCAATAGAATCCTTTGGTTACTGATAAGCTATTATAACGGATACAATAAGATAATAAGAGAATCGATATTGTGATATTTGTAGTTGTTTTATGTTTAGTGAACGCGACTTATACTGTAACTTTGATATAAACTGTAAGGTGAAATGAGTCTCCTTTAGTCCTTTTATTGTACACTGAAAATCAGAGAGGGGAGCGTTCACAGCAAACTGAATGTTTGTATTTAAAAAAGAAAAAATAAAAAAAGTCCTCGTTCCTTAATTTCTCAGCCAGTAATAATGCAGCATTTTATATGCGCATCTTTAGAAATACAAGATGACGTGTACAAGTGTTATTATGATTCTATGATCATAATAACGAGTCAAATGCTTGAAAGTGTATCTAATTCGTCTTTATATATTATAGGAGGTATGGAAATATCACAGATATCAGTATTGCATGACATCTAGAAATATCAGTGACCCTTTCACACAACAGAAAATAGCAATAAATAAGTTAGTCTTACAACAGTTACCAGAGCAACTTCACGAGGAATACAGAGCGTATCATAGAAATACAAGCCGCAAAAACTATATTGACTTGAATATAGAGGATAATAGATACTGTCGTATTTGAGGCACGATGGCAACATTATATGAGTAAATCACTCAAAACGTCTAACGAAATGTAAAATAAAACTTGATCTCAGATATGAGTACTGCTCATATCTTCGTTCCCGTTTGGTAAGCGGTGTGTTCGATTGCATACATTTGAACCTTAGATCAAATGTATAACAAATAAAGATAAGATAAGAAAAGAATATGGATTAAGGATAATTCTTATGTGAGATTAGCTGATATATCCAGTTACTTTAAAAGACTTATAGAAATAAAATAAAATAAGACAGTAAAATGACCAGACACAACAAAGATACTCTTTATTCAAGTTTGTTGAGAATGATACTTTTATATGAGAAACGGGGTTATTAACGGGTATTCAACTATTAATACAACTGAACTAAAACTATCATGAGAATGATAAGATCTTAGCCGCAAGCGGGTGTCAAAGTAGATGTGTATCAGATTGTCAAGCAGGTACTGAAGTCGTTCTGTAGTTTAAGACGTATAGTTGTATCTTGGATACAACATAGCCCCCAACCAGACAGAAGTACCGGTTGATATTGACTAGTATAACAACACTTACAAGTTAATACAATAGTGAACCAATTAATATGGATAGGCGGCTAGTGTAGAAGGTCGATCAGAAAACCCTGATGGTTAAAACCTTAAATAAGGAAAAAGAAAGGGAAAGATACAATTTCCTACACCTGAGAATAGAGGTTAAACTCATGGCCTAAGCACGGTTGACACGCGTGCGAGTTCGTGTAGAATACTTATGCTTAATAATCTGCTTAGGAGCGACCTTGGGCACAGTATTGTTGACAGAAGATTTCGAAGTTCTCTTAGAAGCCTTAGGAACTTGTAAAGTAGAAGAAGCAGCAGCTGCTTGTGTTTTAGCTAACTCAACTGTCTTCCAGTACTTCTTGATAGGCTCTAATGATTGGAAAGATTGAGAAGGTTCCCAAGTATCATCTTCAGGATCAGGATAACCTTCCCAGCGCACACGATAAAGATAATTACCAGGAGTGCCTTTATGATCAATGACAGCACGAACTTCGAAGTGAGTATTTTGCTCTTCTTTAAACTGTTCATCATTGACCACACCCGGCAGGACTCGGGTGATATGATGTGCTGGAACGTTATGTTCGTGGAAGCCTGTACCAGGATCCTTAAGAATGTAACTACCTTTCGAAGTATGGCCAGCAATTACAAAAGGTCCAGCGTTGCGAGGAGAAAGCTTTCCAGAACGGACAACGTTCTTAATAATGACCTTAGAACCAATAGGAATAGGCTTGTCAAGAATCCTATGTTTCTTAACAAACTTTTCATGATCCTTATTCTGTGTAGCTCTGATACGATCAGAAATAGCAGGGATAACAACTTCATTAACAAACTTGTATCGTTCGTCAATAGCTTCATTATCAGCTTTCTGCATACTCAGAGTAGGTTGTACTTTAGAGTAATCGTTGAATCCGTTGGGTTGTCGATTGAACAAGAGCGTGTAAGGACGAGATTTATGTAGCCGAGAATATTTCAAGTTCATACTCAATTGGCAATAAGGTACATAGAAATC